ATGGATGGATGGATGGATGGATGGATGGATGGATGGATGGATGGATGGATGAACGAATGAATGGATGGATGGATGGATGGATGAACGAATGAATGGATGGATGGATGAATGGATGGATGGATGGATGGATGGATGGATGGATGGATGAATGAATGAATGTAGTAAGGCTTTATGGAATGCCTCTGAGTGCAGAGAGCTCTGTGCTAGTTGCTTCTTGGGTTGAGCTAATGGGAAGAGTTCATAGTGGATCATCTTACTCAGAACTTATTTTCAGGGGGGAAGAGGAAGGAGGAAGGACCTCCAGACCTAATTTCATTGGTACAGAGAATTTCTAGTTAGGAAATGCCCTCTCCCGTTGCAGATCAGCACCGTCCCTCCCTCGTCTAGTCTAAGAGAGTTTGAGCTCACTGAGAAGTGAGGTGGCTTCTCTAGGGTCACATAGACTCTCTGTGTCCTGGGCAGCATTGGAACCCAGGTCTTTCTGACTAGGAGGCCGCCTTCCTTTTCACTCCACCAAAGGCCTTTATGGTTGTTCAAATATGACTCATAGTCATTGCAGCTGGGGCAGCCAAAGCATCTGGATGTGGCTGAAGACCTGAGTTCAAATTCTGCCTTAGACATTTATTAGCAGTGTGTCCCTGGGCAAGTCATGTCTCTCTACCTCAGACCTTTCTTCTGTAAAATCGGATATTGTATTCAATAGTCTCTCCCAGTTCTATATCGATGCTCCTAAGATATCAGAGTGGATATAGTATCTATTTTTCCCTTTGAAACTCTCCCACCATTCACGAATTCTTCCCCCAACTCTCCCTGGACCCCTCAGGAACGTGCCAAAAGGACGTCACGATGTTTGAGAGGGATGCAGAATGGTAATCCACTAGGGGGAGCATGGGAAACACAGATATGGGGCACGGCTTCCTTCCCGGGGGTGTTAATCAGAGCTTCAATGCGAGGCCTTGGTAGGAGACAGAGGACTGTGCTCAGTCATCATTAGATTCTAAGTCTTCAATGGAATCAGCCTTGCCGTTCAGCCACGCTCAAACCCCACTCTGGATGTGCCCATTGGTGCCTGGCCTGTGTGGGCCTCGTTACCTCTGGGCTGCCCCAGAGAGGGAGGGGCTAGGATGGTTAATTAGGTAGCCCTTGGTGTGCTAATTGCTCAGGAGTTGAATCGGCCAGCTTTCATCCTAATTTGGAGCCCAGATTGGTGGGAGATCTGGTGGCTGAGCCACTTCAGCACCAGGCTTTGAAAACTCACTGGCCTGGGGTTGACTCATGGTGCAGAAGGAGAATCGGATTTCCCTCATCTCCTCAGAAGGAATGCATTCCATTCCATGGCCAGTCTGTCTGGGAGGATGCTGTGCTTAATCAATACCAGATGCACGTAGGGCTGGTGGAAAAGAGCGGGACGGCATCTGGAAGGAGATGTGATGATTTGTGTGGGGGTCCCAGCGTGGTCTCTGCGGCCACAGGTTTTGGGGACACGGTCTGTCTGTGGCTTTACCCTAAAGACTGGCCCCTCGGCCACGAACCCAACTCCCCCACCCAATGTCTAACTCACTTTCAGAAAGTCATTAAGAAGCAGTCAGTTATAGTAGATTGACACTGGTCAGAAAGATGTGAGTTCAGATTTTGATACTTATTAGCTGTGTGTCCTTGGTCAAGTCACCAAACCTCTCTGAGACTACTTTCCTTCATGCAGTCTACATTTTTGTTTCCCTAGCACTAGACCCTGGCACATGCTCATAGTAGGTGCTTAATTAATGCTTCTTGTTGTTCAGCTATTTCAGTACTAACTCTTAGTGACTTCATTTGGGGTTTTCTTGGCAAAGATACTGGAGTGGTTTGCCATTTCCTACTCTAGTTTATTTTTCAGATGAGGAAACTGAGGCAAACAGGGTGAAGTGACTTGCCCAGGGTCACCCAGCTAGGTATTAAGTGTCTGGATTTGAACTCAGGTCTTCCTGACTCCAGGACCAGTACTCCATCTACTGCACCACCTAACTGCCCAATGCTTGTTCATTGATTGTAACATGTAGGTAATAAAAACTGTAGATGGTTGTGAGGCTCGAAAGAGCTAATATATGTAAATCCCTTCGCAAACTCTAAGACACTATCCTCAGAAATGTCAGCATATTTATTATAATAGAGGCAGTGTGGTATAGGAGGTAGTGGACTGACTGTGGAGTCAGGAAGGCCTGGGTTCA